ATTGAAAAACCCACTGTGTCTTAGGGTGGGTTCTTTAGAGAAGCAAAACCAGTGACATTTACATATATACACAGAGAGAGAGAGAGAGAGAGATTTATCACAAGGAAATAGCTCCTGCAGTTGTAGAGGCTGGCAAGTCCTAAGTCCATGGATCAAATGTCAAACTGGAGGCTTCTCCTGACTCACACAGCTGCAGGGGCTGAAGAACTCAAGACTGGAAGACAGTATAGCAGGCTGCTGACTTCTGAAGCTGATGAATCCAAGATCAGAAGGTAAAATGGCAGATTATTGGCTCACAGGCTATGAAGGCAGCAATCTCAAGATTGGCAGGCAACAAGACAGGCCACTAGTTCAAGTCCAGAAACTGGAGATGATGCAGGATCCAAAGTGAGCAAAAAGCCAGAGACCTTTCCCAAAGTTTTTCCATATATACTAGAAGTAGGCCGCACCCCATAGGCAATTCCCCTTCAATTGATTAGCTGTTCACTGCAGATTCCACCATGGAGGTGATCACATCATATTCAATCTCATTATGGGAAATAACTATATTGCAACTGTCAAGCCACTCAAAATCATCGCCCAGCCAAGTTGACACACGACCTTAACTACCACACATGGCTTGGGTTACATACACCTTAGTCATCAAAGTGACATTTTTGCTTTTTATCACTTTAAAGAAATCTTTTGCAGCAAATTTCCCCAATGCAATATGTTGTTTGATTCTTGACTGCTGTATCCATGGGCACTGACTGTTGATTGCTTCTGGCTTGTCTTTACTGATAATATTGAGCTTCTCCATCATTCCTTTGGAACAATCAACAGATGTTGTTGATTTGATTCCTGTGCAATCCATTCAGTGAGGTCCATGTGTATAGTTTGTGTTGTCGAAAAAATGTATTTCTGATGAATAAGTCATTGATCTTAAAGAATTTTATCATGTAAACTCTAGCATCCTTTCTATCATCACCAAGGCCATATTTTCCAACTACTGTTCCTTCTTCTTTGTTTCTACCTTTCACATTCCAATCACCAGTAATTATCAATGCACCTTAATTGCACATTTGATCTATTTCAGATTGTAGCAATTCATAAAAATTTTCAATTTCTATTATTAAAAATTTTTTTTTTCAATTTCTTCATCTTTGGTTTTGTGGTTGGTGTGTAAATTTGAATAACAGTCATATTAATTGGCCTTCCTTGTAGGCATATAAGCCTATCACTGACAGCAGTGTACTTCAGGGTACGTCCTGCAATGCTCTTTTTGATGATGAATATGATGCCATTCCTTTTCAATTTGTCTTTCCCAGAATAGTAGACCATATGATTGTCAGATTCAGATGGCCAATACCGTTGCATTTCAGCTCACTGTGGTGTAGTGCCTGAGGCATGTGACTGCTAACCAGAAGGCTAGCGGTTCAAACCCACCAGCCACTCCTTGGAAGGAAGATTAGGCAATCTACTTCCTTAGTGATACCACCTTGGAAACCCAAGGAGGGGTTGTTATGAGTCCTATTCAACTCAACAGCAGTGAGACCTATGTGTTCCTGTCTCTATTCATCTCTGTACTCCCAGTGCCTGACACACAGTAGGCAGCTGGCAAATGTTTCTTAAATGAACAAGTGAAGAAGTGAATGAATAAGGGAGCAGTGGGCTTGGAGGAGATTAAGGTACTTGAGAAATTTTTTGGTCTAAGATAGTGGAGCCAGTGGCAAGACAGCATTGGAAGATGGGGAGGAAGGCTGATGGAGCAAATTCTAGAGCCTTGGGAAGGGGGAGGAATGCTCCACCCTCTGAGTTAGGAGGACGGGAGAGAAGAATGAATGGAGGTGAGGATCAGTGGTGTTGGGAGGCAGAGAGAGGTGCTCATGTTTGATGATCTCAGTCAAGAGGGAATTGAGATC